CGAGCTCGAAGACACACAGCGCAGCTGGATTTTAGTGGTTGGATTGGGATGTTCACTGGGGGTACAATTTGGCTTTTGACCCATGGCCATATGACAGAGCATTATAAGCGCTGACCATGGCACCTTCTGCACGCCCAGCAAGGAGTGGGCCCGTGCTGAGAAAAAAAGCCTGTGCAAATGCATCCCCTCTATCCAACCAGCTCAGATCTGACTTTATCGCCTGTATGAAGACCTGATCATTCACCTTTGTCCGCGGTTCTGCTTCTCCTTCTCCCTCCTTTCCCGTTTCATTGGCTCCAACTGGCAGGTGCATCGCTTCGTCCTTTGGGCTCCCCCAACTTTGCACGTCTCCCGCCTTCGCCGTCCCCAAGCGGCGGCTCCAGATCCATGCTTTGGGCCTGGTGCCGGGACTTCTGATGTTGTCACAGGCAGAAAGTTTTGAAGTGTGGTTGGGGCGTTGTAGAGCTTCGTGCAATACATGAAATCTGCAACCTCTGTGTCACGTTTCAAGAAGTGAGGTTGAGCTCTTGGCTTCTCAAGAACAGGGAGTCACCGTATAAGATCTGGAAGGGCTACGAGAGCAAACAGAGTTGTCCACCATGAGAGAAAGGGGGCCGGAACTGCTGGAAGCAAGGCTTGCAACTTGAGGCCGTTGTTGAAGACTGCTCTCTGGGAAAGCACTCTTGCAGAAACGACTGGTTCCGTATTGGGCTCTTCTGAATGCCCATCAAGCAGTGGGATACGGGATCAGGACATCCACAAGTCGTGGCGCTCGCCACACGACAGGTTACCATTTGGAGTCCGGGTCACTCCCAAACTTTAGGAGTATCTCCCAACGTCTAAGAAACTATCTCGAGACGCTCTCCCGGCTTTCTTCCGGATGGGGCAGCGTGGCCCGGCCTTCAACAAGTCGGTGACCTTGTCCTTCAGCTCCTGCGAAGCACTTGTCCAAAAGCTCTGGACAAAAGCAAATGGATCTTGTGGGATGAATGAGACATGGAGAAGGGACTGCATATGAATCGGTGCAACCCCTCTTCTTATCGATGTTTGTGAACGGTTTTGTTGAGCCGCATCAACCGGGAACTCAACGATGCGTTCCAGCTGGAATCGTGCTGCAGGCAATAGACAACTGGGAGCCAAAAGTTGTTGCAACGGGTGGTTTCCAAATCCGCGAGCGCCACAATAATCCAATTTCGGTAAGACCTGTTGGTGGTGTTGCTGATCTTGCTGATGTTGCTGATGTTTGTGATGGCGGTGATTCTGATGATGCTAGTGATGCTAGTGATGCGGACGCTCAGTCCTTTTGATGCCAGTGATGCCAGTGATGCCAGTGATGCCGGTGATGCCGGTGATGCCGGTGATGCCAGTGATGCCGGTGATGCCAGTGATGCCCGTGATGCCGGTGATGCTGGTGATGCTAGTAACTGCGGCTTTGCTGTGCAGCCTTTTGCTGAGAAGTTTGGCATAAACCTCAGTCCCTCCCAGGCATTCCACGCCTTGGACTTCTTGGCCTTGTCAGAGACCTGAAAAACGTCAAGCTCATTCACGTTCACAGCAGCGTGCCATGTCTACCTATGCCCAAAGTGTCAAAAGATCTACGGGCAATGATAAATATCCCAAGAAAGTCATTATCCCGGCCGGTCTCTGGAAAAATGGTGTCCTTTGTGCTTGGCCGCAATCCTGAGCAAAGAAATCCTTCGACGACAACACAGCCGCGCTCTGCACGGTAGGGCTCCCGGCCACATGCGCCCAAATGGACAGGGACTCGCAAGAGACCTGCCAATTGACTCCTTGTGGCTCAAGTCCTTGCCATGTTTTCCGCAATCGACTGGTCAAAAGTTTGCCACTAAATTGGTCTTCCCAACAAGTTTACAGTAAAGTCCATGAACTCAGGAGTTTGGAAACAGTTTGCGTGTATGTGTCTGTGCTTCTGCCTGCCTGCCTACCTGCCTGCCTGCCTCTGCCTGCCTACCTGCCTGCCTGCCTCTGCCTGCCCCTGCCTGCCGGCCTGCCTGTTGTGCCTGCCTGTCTGTCTGTGTTGAGGCATTGTCATGGAGGTTTGAATCCTCCCTGGATCGTACTGCATCGCGTGGATTCCAAGTATTGGTCCCATCACTGACACGAACTGTTGCCTCCAGCCTCTTGAAGGCCAAGCCTTACGATCCACACGACTTGCTGGAAGTCGGGGAGGGCTGGGGGGGCCGAGCCACCGGCCTGCTTGCTCCGCGGCGCCGCCTGGGCCTGGGATCCGGGTGAGAAGCTTCTCCCAGCCGGTGTCTCTGTGGCCAATGGGAAATTCCATGGCTTCTCTATGGCTTCTCTATGGTTGGTTTTTCGTCAGCGGCCCGGCATGATTTGAAGCTGGGATGTGTTCGAAGTGTCCAGGATTGCGCTTCTTGCAGGTCAAAGATTAGAAGGGCTTTGGGAATGAAGGCTTGAAAGGCAACCACAAGGTGGGGGCCATTCCCTCAGCCCCTGAGAACCAGTAAGATCAAGGTTTCACGCATCTCCTTCGCTCTCATTCGCGCTTGGAAAACCCTCGCCTGGATTCTTCAGACTTCGCAACGTCAGTCACAACCCGCGAAGGCAACTGCGCGAGATGTGAACAGGACTGCCAGCGCCAGGGTGAATCTTGCGAGGGTTTTGGCGCTTGCCACGAGGGAGAAACCGTCTGAACTGAACTGAAGTCCATTCACTGGCTGGCTGAAAAAATCAATGATTTGAGAAGTTGTTCCAAATGCTTCTTTCCTTGTATATTGGAGCCTTGGTCATAAACCAGCATCCTGGCAAGCAACGTGCCAAGGCGGCACTGCATGTGTGGGGGAGATCTCAACAGCCGTGCGCTGATGCGGGCCCGCTGGTGGATCCAACAAGGTACAGGCTCACTGCTGAAAGTCAGAGGGTGCAGATCCAAAGCTTCTTCCAAAGGACCTCTTCCCCACTCCCGGTGCCACCCTGCGGCCTGTGCGTACTGCAGCAGGGCCTTGCAAGGAAGCATCTTCCGACAAAGCTACTCTCGGGCCTTGGATACCTATTCTGCAGGCCGTATTAAGCTATAGGTTATTGCCCATGTTTCCTAAGTAGAGTGGTCATCCAAGTAGCTTGCTTGAGCAGTGAAAGATATGCGTAGGCTTCACTGAAACACCCTGGAGTGCTCCATGTTTCGTGATAGATGACCTATGATTCGCCAGACCTATGTATGCTTCTCGGTGGCGCTCGACCGCATCAAGCATGTCAGCATCAAACGAATCGGGTCAGCTCCGTTTCAAGGAAACCATGCGACGAGTCGTTCAAGGCTGAGCCTGGTGTAAGTATCAAGAAGACATGAGCAAGAAAGACACGTGGGCATGTGGCAAAACCAGCAAAAAACGTTAGTTTGTGCCACAAGCAAGCCATCCACCTACATTAACATGTGGCAAAATCGGATGGAAAACCGATAGTTTGTGCTCAAAGCAGACAATGCAAACTGCAAACAAGCCAACCACCTGACTTCGGTGCAGTGGGGCGTTGAAGCGGCAGTCTATAAGGCTGGTGGTTTGCGCCATAGTTTGCCCAAAAACCGTGAGACACATCTTAAACAGCCTTGACTCGGCATTCCTCAAAAAGGAATCCGTTGAAACCACCAACTGTGACGCAGTGTTTGGAAAGAATGCTAGGAACCTGATTGGGAACACCAACAATGGGCACCTTTGCTCCGATTACCCACAAGTCCGCATCTTGCTCAACTTGACTCTCTCATGACTCTCTCCAATGTCAGCGCAGAAGAAACTAGATAGGTGCGGCAACATCGTCTCTGCTTTTCAAACGGTTCTGAGAAAGCTGGAGGGCAGATCAGATCGTCGGTCGCCCTCCCTGACTTTGGCGCCGGTGCGCTCATAGACATGTCTCAAAATGGTCAACCCCCTAAGGTGTTTGAATTGAAATGAAAACCAAAAGGCAATGGGGGTCCAGTATCCACGACGGCGTTTGGGAGAAACAGTATCTTCGAAATAGCGTAGAAGCTTCCTGCTTGTGGCCCGTTTCCTTGGCACAATTCATACCGACTGCGGAAGCAGAAGTCTGACCATGGCAATGGAGTTCCATGGGCTCACCCAGCCTCGCCCCGTTGGGACTGGCTAACATTCGATGCGCAACAGCTCGCAAGACGGATCAATATCGCGCATGCGAAGCCCGAAACTTCCAATGTTAGGCTCTTCAAAACCATCCCATCCCAAGCAAAACAAAAGGAACACCGCGCCCTGGTGAAGAACTCCGCGTGCGCCGGCACCACGGCCCGGCTCACGCTGCCTGGCCTCAGACCGGAATTTGAAGCCCTGTGAACTTGAGGGGGGGGTTCCCTTGGGGCAAAAGCTTGTTTGGGCTGTCAAAAACCGGTGGATGCCTTTCCGATCTTCCGAGAAATCTGTGTGCAATTGAAATAATAATAAAAACAAGAATAATGTCATGGTTGAAGGAAGATTGTTCACCAGCCTGCTTGCCTTTCAGCCATTCACAACAAGTCGTAATGGCCCGTACTGGCAGTCGACCTAAACTCCTCCACATATCCAGAAGTTGGGAGGCCGCCCTTCTGTGCGTTTGGAGTCGCATGTCATGCATTGGGAGTTGACTCGGGATGGATGCATCCTGCCGTGAAAGTGGGCTCATAAGCGATCAAGAGCGCAAAGTACCTTGGCTGATCTAGGACAACGCCCCGGGCCTAGACTACAAAAAAAGGAACCTGGGCGTGACAACGCGCAGTTTCAAAGCACCCCGTTCATACAGCTTATCCTGGCAGTCGTCTGATGCTCGGGGTCCACCCCCTTTTGCCAAAAGGCTGAACACGTTGAGATAAGAAAAATGGTGATCTGGGTGGTCTTCCACCTGTGCACGCCTCATGAATGAGTTGTCTCTTGGCTCCGATGGCTTGCATGCTGCCTGCTGAAACTGAACTGAAAACGGTCCTTCCCTTCCTGGGGCATATCCAAATTGGTTAATTCTTCCACCCCCTGTCGCAAGCTTTTCCCACTGCAACGACAGCTTCACGAATCTACGGGGATCGCCTCCTCGTCTTGGCCTCAGTCTGCGCGGCAAAACAAATTGCCGCTGTGCCCTTCAAACCTGAGCTCCGCCACATTGACTCCACTGATGGATGCCAGGGATACCCACAAGCAATGCTTCAGGGGCACATGAGCCGCGTTGAGAGAGTGCGAGGATCCTGTCTGAATGATATTTCGACAACCAGGCGACCAGTCCTGTAGAAGTGCGGACAACTAACCGCACATGAGTCTTCAAAACTACCAGCAGTCCAGGAAGGTGTTGAGAACTCAAACATGGAGCAACCGGCATGCTAACAGAACTCCTCACAACTCAGTAATGATCCCCACGCGAAGAAAGGCCCGAATACCGCCCTTGATGTCTAAAAAATCCAACGGCCCACGACAAACATCATACCGTTGATTGCCGCACCATCAACATCCAGGGCGGTGCGGCATGGGTTTAGCAGCTTCAAGCAGAGACACCGAATGATCGAAAGAAGGCGGAGTTAAACTGAGTCTCTTCTTGACCAGTGCACAAATACATACAACAAAGTGGATGCAACAAAGCCTCCAACCACCTTCCCTCCCAGTTCACCTCCCTCAGCCCCCCTTCCCCCATCCACCTTGCAGCAACGCGCCCAGCACCTCCTCCACCGACCTGCCGCTCCGTTGAGCATCGGACACGTTGCCGGTCTCCAGAAGAAAGAAGTGGGTTGGAAGGTGAAAACAAAACGACTCAGACGTAAACCTGAGCCGCCAAATGACATCATCACATGGCGTTGACTGCTGCATGCGCTTCAAACATCCTGGCCAGCATGCTTACTGGCTCTGACAAAGTCTGCTTGTGAGAAGGAGAAAGCTTCCAAAAACGGCCAGTTGTCATCAAAATGCAAGAGGGACTCCGCCGACAGGGCTGACGCCCAATGGCAAGGAATACTGCGCGGGGTTGTTCCAACACATACACACATTGCAGGAATCCATGACCTTCCCCCGTTTGCATGGGAAGCTCCATTGATTCTAAGCAGGCAACAGTTGGCTGGGTTTCCCTTCACAAATCCGTTTTGTGTAATTATGTCATTTCCCATCATGGTCTATGAGTTTACTTGCTCTTTCTAGCAATGCCATAGGCCCAGACCCACAAAACTCATGTGAATCATAATCAGAACCCGGTACAAAGATGGTTCACCCAGAAGCATGTAAAGAATTAGAAATTAGAAAGGCGGATATCCGCAAGGATTTTTCCGGCTGGGACTGCCCCGTGCTAACCTTCATCTACCCGAATCGGCTTTGAGCACGTGGCTGTGGCCGTTCCTCTCTCATATCAAACCCCTCCCTCCACTGGCGCTTTCAGCTCTCAGGCTCCCGGCTGCTGCAGCTGCTGCAGCTGATCGGCGTCCAGCTTCCCCTGGCAGTGAGCGATGCAAATCCTACGCCGCGCAGGCGCGCTCATGTGGCCATGGGTCAAAGTCCAAGTAGCCCCAGTGAACGGGACCCAATCCAACCACTAAAATAGGTTCTAAAATGGGTGGTGAATTCCCCTACCCCAAAATGGTACCATTGGTTTTGACCCACAGCCATGTCTACATTTCGGTGTGGCTCAAAATGAAACAGCTGAAAGTTACGCAGCTGTTGGTCTTTGTTTCCATTATACCAAGGTGCCCTTGCGGGTACATGTTTCTGAGCCACAGCCATTTGCAATGGCTGGAGACTTGCGATCGGTGCGACGGGCGAATGAGAATTGGAATGACCCCGAGTCCTTTAGGGAATCCCCAGGTTCATTCCCACATTCCCTACGACTTGGCAATTCCTAGGAATCACATCATATACCCTAAGTCCCCACCACAAAAAATCCAGCAAAGGAATCTTGCATATGAAGTGTCCCAGCTTGAGTGCAACCTGTCTGTGAGGCGACTGAATCATCCATTGCCTGTCAATGCCATCAATCACAGTCAATTCTCCGCTTCCATGAATCCCGTCATGCTACGTAGGAAATCCGGGTCGGAGGAATGTAAACAAAATGAGCAGGTGCCGATCATCGAACATATAAACATCATGGGTTCTAAGTCCCATCCTTTGCGGCCACGGAGAACGGGGTTCAAAGATATGTCAAGCTTGCTCAATGCGAATACTTGAGGCGAGCATAAGGAAGCAACAAATCCCCCGAACGCTGGCAAGAGTATCACGAGATGCTCTAGCAAGTCTATTCAACGCAACTGGGAAGTTGTCCGCTCATATGCGCCCCCCTGAAAAACCTCCACTCCTCTCCCGGCTGCCTGCAGATTGGAGAAAACCTCCGACCAATCCTGCGTTTGCCGCTGGAGACCCCAGTCCATGTGCGAATCGGCAAAGTTGGGAGGGCCCTTTAATGATTAAATGTGGTAAGCTTGCCTTGGATTTTCTTGCGCAACCGTCCAATAACTGATCGTTTCCTTGCCATCGATCACGCTGACTGCAAACTTTCTGCGGGACCCAAAAGCAATGCGGGAAAGTGTGTTTTTCCTCACCATTTCCAGTTCCGGTCTTGAGCGGGTGAAGCAGCCCACAAAAAAAACCTGCAGCCTCAAGGCCCACGCCTCTGCCGCACCCGCGCCCGCGATCAGCGCCTGCGGGGTGCTCCGCGCCGAGGGCGTGGAGAGGTGCTGAGAACTCGTGAAGCAATTTTGGCGATGGCGGCCATGTTGTCAAGTTCAAATTGGCCTTTGTCCATCCGCGCTTGCTTCCAGGTCGGCAGGCAAATGCCATCGTATCTCAATTTGTACGTCCACTCAATGCCGGTGACAAACGACCGTTGGTTGAGGTCTGCATATATTGCGCCCACATTTGTCATTTGTGTGTGTGTGTGCACGCGTCAGTAGTGTCAATGGACGGCTGATACCTGCAGCCTCGCGCTGATGTATGCTTCCTGCCGGCAAGACTCCAAATGTGGTGTCCTGGAAGACCTGCTCTTGATGGAGCCTGGCTGGCCTGTTGGATTGCAACTTCACATTGAATGAAAAGACGGCTTTGCCGGACCAACATCTCACCGCACAAGCACTCCAAGCCCCAGATCGATCCTGCCTGGACATCCTCAACTTCCCCTGGCCTGGCGCGAATTCGAAAGCCGGAGGCCCCTTGTAGCGAGGATTGCTAACAAAGGTTCGACGAAACTGAGACACAGCCAGAAAAGACACGCCGCGACAACGAAATGAAAGCTTATGTATGTCTGTCTCTCTGTCTCCCTCCCTCCCTCCCTCCCTCCCTCCCTCGCTCTCTGCCTTTCTGCCTCTCTGCCTTTCTGCCTTTCTGCCTTTCTGCCTCTCTGCCTCTCTGCCTCTCTGCCTCTCTGCCTCTCTGCCTCTCTGCCTCTCTGCCTATCTCTCTCTCTCTCTCTCTCCCTTTCTCTCGCTCTCTCTTCCCCCCCTTATGTGACTGTGTAGATGTGTACCTGTTTGCCTGTGTGCCTGCGGGCCTGCGTACCAGTGTGCCAGTGTGTCTGTGTCAGCATGTATGCGCTCGATGTCTGCATTTCTGTATGTCTGCGTGTCTGTAAATCGGCAAGCCTCTATGTCTGCAGGTCTGCATGTCCAGGGCTTCATGCTACAAACCACCTACAGGTTGGCTGGCGCACCCCACCATGAGGACAAAAACCATGCTGTCGGGTCCGAACTGAACGAAGGCCGGCCCGTGGCTTTGCACACATAGAGAACCAGCACACGCACCACGCGCCGCCCTTGACTGTCGAAGCCGAGGCCCCACGAGCTTCCTCGCACGGCCATATGGGCCAGCAAATCTGTCGGATATCTGTCCACGCGCCAAACAAAAACATGTCCCGGCATCCTTCTGATACCGAAAGCGGGGTGGACTCGGGATTCCCCAATCTTAACACTTTCCCCACTGGTCATGGACCACTCGCGGACCCAGTGGAAAGCTTCGCCACCACGCCTCTCGGCAAGGCTTCCGAGGAGCTCCGTGATGGATTTCACCTCGGAGCCGATGGTCAAGGCGCCCGGCACATGAATCAGAGGTCTGGTTATTGACGTCGCGATTTCTACGAGAGCAACCAAACCCCAAGAAGGTTGCCCTGAATATGAGCCAAAAAGGGAGAAACACCCGCGGATATTAAATAAGGAGTTGTGCCCAAGAACAAATGGCTTCAACGCGGGCCTCCCAAACCCTTGAAACTAAGAAACCCAAACACCCCTCGACATGTCTCACAGGCTTGCAATCGCATCTTAGCACCTTCCAAGAGCTAAGATTGTCCCCCACCTGTTCAATCTTTCGACTTGCTGCATATGAATACTTCTCAATCGTTTCAAGGCTGGGATGGCGCCGCAAAACCTCTGCAACTTGAGTCACAACCCAAACCCGGAATTAGTAAGGGAAAATCCCAACCGCTAACAGGTGCGGCCGCCTTCATTCTTTACATGGGTAGACCATACCGATTGATTAGGACTCACCGCACTCATTTCAGGTTCGGGCCAGCTTCTGCCTGAGGCTCTGGGAGGGCCTAAGAAGCGGCGGCGTTTTGCGAGCGATGCCAGCGACCCCAAAAACAGTCCAATGGAAACACGGGGGGTGACCCAAAGGTCCCTGATACATGGGATGACCGCTGGAGAAAACCACTGGAAAAGATGATATGGCAACCACAAAATGGGAAAAGTTGTCCATGGCCATTTGGGGTCGAACGGCATATTGATCAACCCTCATCACATAAAGGACAACCAAACAGCATGGGGTTTAGCAAGGGGCAACGAATCGTGCAATGAGAGCTTCGGATTCGCGGGGAAGGATTTTGGTAAAGGGAACCATGGTCGGAGAGAAACGAGTTTGGTTTGCTTTTTGCGAGTTAAGGAAAGGGCCCGAAAGCACGCTCCCTGAAGCCAGGCTGTCTCCATCCCCTTCTCAAATCTAGGTGTCCATCAGTCCATCTCTCGTCCATTCCACACGCACTGCATCCATGTCACTCAGAAGTTCTGCTCAACCCGAAGGAGCACAATCCATTTCGGGTCCCTGGCTTTGACAGCCATCTGGTCTCTGCTTACTTTTGACAAAGGAAATACGGCATGTGGAGAAAGCCGACAAAACTGTTGCTTCACAACGGCGCGGTTCGCGATGCGCATCTCACGAATTTTGAGGCAAGCGGATTGCGGGGGACAAATCATCAGGGCCTTTGAGCGCCGAACTCATCTGCAGCCAGCTCCATTAGGTCCTGGCAAGAGCTCACATTTCTGTGTGCCACGAGACACATGTTCAGATTTACTCCTACATGGCGAGCCGTTGCCCGGCTATCACGCCTTCTTGTTTTCTTGTGTGTGTGTGTGTGTTGGCGTGTGTTGGCGTGTGTTGGCGTGTGTTGGCTGGCGTGTGTGTGTGTGTGTGTGTGTGTGTGTGTGTGTGTGTGTGTGTGTGTGTGTGTGTGTGTGTGTGTGTGTGTGTGTGTGTGTGTGTGTGTGTGTGTGTGTGTGTGTGTGTGTGTGTGTGTGTGTGTGTGTGTGTGTGTGTGTGTGTGTGTGTGTGTGTGTGTGTGTGTGTGTGTGTGTGTGTGTGTGTGTGTGTGTGTGTGTGTGTGTGTGTGTGTGTGTGTGTGTGTGTGTGTGTGTGTGTGTGTGTGTGTGTGTGTGTGTGTGTGTGTGTGTGTGTGTGTGTGTGTGTGTGTGTGTGTGTGTGTGTGTGTGTGTGTGTGTGTGTGTGTGTGTGTGTGTGTGTGTGTGTGTGTGTGTGTGTGTGTGTGTGTGTGTGTGTGTGTGTGTGTGTGTGTGTGTGTGTGTGTGTGTGTGTGTGTGTGTGTGTGTGTGTGTGTGTGTGTGTGTGTGTGTGTCGTGTGTGTGTGTGCGTGGGTGCGTGGGTGCGTGCGTGCGTGCGTGCGTGGTGCGTGCGTGCGTGCGTGCGTGCGTGCGTGCGTGCGTGCGTGCGTGCGTGCGTGCGTGCGTGCGTGCGTGCGTGCGTGCGTGCGTGCGTGCGTGCGTGCGTGGGTGGGTGCGTGCGTGCGTGCGTGCGTGCGTGCGTGCGTGGGTGTGTGTGTGTGTGCGCTGGTGTGTGTGTGTGTGTAGGTGTATGTGTGTGTAGGTGTGTGTGTGTGTGTTTGTGTGTGTGTGCGTTGGTGTGTGTGTGTAGGTGTGTGTGTGTAGGTGTGTGTGTGTAGGTGTGTGTGTGTGTAGGTGTGTGTGTGTAGGTCTGTGTGTGTGTAGGTGTGTGTGTGTGTGTCGGTGTGTGTGTGTAGGTGTGTGTGTAGGTGTCGGTGTGTGTGTAGGTGTGTGTGTGTAGGTGTGTGTGTAGGTGTGTGTGTAGGTGTGTGTGTGTGTAGGTGTGTGTGTGTGTGTGTTCGTGTGCGCGTGTGTGTGTGTGTGTGTGCGCGCGTGTGGGTGTGTGTGTGTGTTTTGTGTGTTTGTGTGTTTGTGTGTTTGTGTGTTTGTGTGTTTGTGTGTTTGTGTGTTTGTGTGTTTATGTGTTTGTGTGTTTGTGTGTTTGTGTGTTTCTTGTGTGTTTCTTGTGTGTTTCTTGTGTGTTTCTTGTGTGTGTTTGTGTGTTTGTGTGTTTGTGTGTTTGTGTGTTTGTGTGTTTGTGTGTTTGTGTGTTTGTGTGTTTGTGTGTTTGTGTGTTTGTTTGTTTGCGTGTTTGTGTGTTTGTGTGTTTGTGTGTTTCTGTGCTTGTGTGCTTGTGTGTTTGTGTGTTTGTGTGCTTGTGTGGTTGTGTGTTTGTGAGTTTGTGAGTTTGTGTGTTTGTGTGTTTGTGTGTTTGTGTGTTTGTGTGTTTGTGTGTTTGTGTGTTTGTGTGTTTGTGTGTTTGTGTGGTTGTGTGTTTGTGTGTTTGTGTGGTTTTGCGGTTGTGTGGTTGTGTGGTTGTGTGGTTGTGTGGTTGTGTGGTTGTGTGGTTGTGTGGTTGTGTGGTTGTGTGGTTGTGTGGTTGTGTGGTTGTGTGTTTGTGTGTTTGTGTGCTTTTGTGTTTGTGTGTTTGTGTGTTTGTGTGTTTGTGTGTTTGTGTGTTTGTGTGTTTGTGTGTTTGTGTGTTTGTGTGTCTGTGTGTCTGTGTGTTTGTGTGTTTGTGTGTTTGTGTGTTTGTGTGTTCGTGTGTTCGTGTGTTCGTGTGTTTGTGTGTTTGTGTGTTTGTGTGTCTGTGTGTTTGTGTTCGTGTGTTCGTGTGTTCGTGTGTTCGTCTGTTCGTGTGTTCGTGTGTTCGTGTGTTCGTGTGTTCGTGTGTTCGTGTGCCCGTGTGTTCGTGTGTTCTGTTGGCTTTCAATATTATGGATTTAAGGGAGGGGCCGTGTACTTAAGGGTGGGGCTTTTTTCAGTGTTGCTGAAACCCAATGGTTTTCAAACTTGTGTGTTTTGATTCTGAACAGCCCGAAAAGGCTATTTATTTTTGGAACAATGCAAAATACGGACTTGATGTCATTGCCTTGTTGGAGCGTTTGAGACTCACACCCGGCGAATGTTGTTTTTTGCATTTTCTGACTCAGATCACACATGTTGCAAACCAGAGCAAAATCAGTATACACTGCCAGTGGCATTCAGACCAGACCATTTGAGGGAATCAGTTTGTGGCGGGCGAATTATGGATGTAAGCTAATTATCAAGGTCGTCCGCTGCACTTAAGCACGTTTCTGGCGCGTTTAGCCCGATTGAAGCAGGGTGTGAACAATTGGTGAGGATAGACATGTTTTCGGGATTTGGCGATGTCAGCAATGAAAAACGCAGCACATACCCCAGCTTCAGCGCCAGCCTTCGTCAGAACCCCCACGGAAACACCCATGGATCCAAACAATTCACTGCAGCAAGGCCCAATATCAAATAAACATGTACTCACGTGTTTCAAGGTCAAAAAAGGCAGGCCCATACATCAAACAAAGTGGCGTAAGGTGGAACTGAGGTGAATGGGAACATCAACAACTGAGCCCATGTATCAAGAGACGGTGCAAATTGCTACTGTCACGCAAGCATTTATTCGGCTTGCCTTTCCTGCGAGACCAGCATTCTCACAACTTTTGCTCTGCCGGCTTGAGATTCAACATACGCCGCAGCGTAAGTGACTTTTACTTCGGCACAGCCAACAAAAGTTTAGCGCAAGGCTCAACCAACATGCCTTCAGTGCGGCTAAAGGGCGGGCGGATCAAACTCCTTAAGCGCACCACCCAAATTTAAGCTATTCACCGGCAGCAAAAGTTGCTTAAGTGCAGCCAAAATTCCCCAAGTGCAGCCAACATTTAAGTGCAGCCAAAATTCCTTCGGTGCAGCCAAAATTCCCTAAGATGAATTCCGGAAAAATCCTTAATTCATTCCCGCCAAAATTCCTTAAGTCCAAAAAAAATCCTTAATTCCGGGAAAAATCCTTAATTCCGGATTCATTAGCTTAAATTCGGGGGGGGGGGGGTGAACTTAAGGATTTTGGCCTTTGCCCGAGATGAAGTTCGAGGTGAAATTAGTGTTTTTCATTGCCAAAATAGCGTTTTGTAGCTTGAAAAACACTAATTTCACCCCGAACTTCATCTCTTAAGCTCAGCCCCCCCCCCCTGAATTTAAGCTAAT